TGAGTTTTTATGGCTACCAGAAGACATATACAAAAGTATTAATGACATTATTATTCACAATAGCCCAAAACTAGAAACAACATGAGTGTCTGTCAAGAGTAAAAGGGATCCCCACATGGTGGCATACACCTATATTCCTAGTCTGGGAGACTAACACAGGAAGATCACAAGTTCAAGCCCAGCCTGGGTGACTTAGTGAGACTCTGCCTCAAAATAAAAATTAATAAAAAGGGCTGGAGATGTATCTCAATGCAAAGGCCCTGGGTTCAATTCTCAGCACCAAAAACCAAAACCAAAAGAAAAAAAAGGGATAGATAAATATTATGACATACACAAAATGAAATACTACACAGCAATCAAGAAAATAATTGAACTACCCCTATGCATAATAATGTGGATGAATCTAACCAACAGTGTTGAGAAAAAGAAGTCATGCAAAAACATATATCCTGTATGATTCTATTTATGACGTGCGATCAAAATATATGATGAATATTTAAATTTTAAATATTTATTATGGTAAAAGACACATTGCTATTAATCTCCTTCAAAATACTCCCCTTTTATTCAAACACATTTATCTCATCATTCTTGCCACTTTTTGAAGCAGTTCTGGCAATCCTTTCATAAGTGTTCTTAGTGTACTGTTGTGGTTGCCTCAATGTCCTTAATCAATTCAAAATGTTTACCTTTCATGGTCATTTTGACTTTGAGGAAGAGCCAGAAGTTACACGGTACCAGATCCAGTGAATATGGTGGGTGAGGACAACCATTAACTTACCAGTCGGCCTTTCTGTTGAGTGGCACTCAGCAAAACATTCACCATATTGATCAGCCTTTGTAATGACACAAAGGACTTCCAGAACTACTTCAGAAAGTGGCAAAGATGATGGGATACATGCCTTTGGAGCAAGGAGCAGTATTGTTAGAAAGATTAATGGCAATGTGTCTTTTACTGTGATTTTTTTAAAATTTAGACATTCACCATATATCTTGACCACACCGTATATATGAAATTCAAGAATAGATGAACAAAGTGTATGACAGTATATGCAAAAAATAGCTTTCCTTAGGGTGAGGGTGGGAGTTAGGGAGAAGGGGCATGAAGGAGCCTTTTAGGGTGACAGAAATATTCATTAAGATCTGTACACTTTGTGAAAACTATACCTCAATTTTTGAGGGAGAAAGACTACAGAATAAAATCACATATTCTTAGAGTTTTAATAAACCTTTTCAATTAAACAAAGAATTGTCATCTGAGGACTACAAAAGCTTCTATAGCTCTGAAGTGACTTTGGTGAAGGTATTAGTTATGCAATGATCTCCATCAGGTTTAGCTGTTGAATATATATATATATTAGATGGCACCTTTTCATCCCTTCATGAATGAAATGTTATGCAATTGAACCCTAGAAAACTAGGCCAAAATGGATGTGCTCTGCTATTCCCAAAGAAAAGTATGCCTTATTTGAGCCATGGGAGATGGCTAAGTGTGTGCATTTATCTTCATTACCAAGATGATGGTTCTGGAGCTCTGAGAGGTTCAAATGTCATTTAAACTAAATTCCTCTGACTTCTAACCAAGTGCTGTTCTTGTGGTGTTCATACACACTGATTTCAATACAAAAAAAATGCAGTAAGTGATCCTGAACTGGATCCTGGAAGGAAAAAATGCTATAAAGAACATTTTTTGAACATTTGATAAAAGTTAAATACAGATTATACAGAGAGAATAATACTGTATCTACCACTGTGAAATTTCTTGACCTCTATACTTGTATGTTTCATAAGGGAGTTGTAATGTCAGACTGAGGCATGATTGAGATCACTGAGGCAGGCAAAGTCTAAGCAACAAGCGATGAGTTTATTGCCATTTGGGTGCAGATGGGCCAAGGGCAAGAAGGCCGCTGGCACTGAGAGGAGGCGGCCTGTGGCTGATATAGGGCATTTTAGGTAGGGGAGGGGCGCTGCTCAAGAGGGTGGAAAATTTTAGAGCCCATGGGTGATGGGTCTGGGGCTGGCTGGTAAACAGGGCGGTGGTGAGAGCAGCAGGGTGGCTGCTGGCTTCTTGTGATCTCTGTGCTCCTGTGGATGTGGGTAGCGGCTCTGCTTGGGCAGGGTCTGGCTTGGGAGGCCTGTCAGGAGTAAGTATACTTGTTCATAAGAAATGCATAGTGAAACATTCAGAGAGAAAGATCACCATCTCTGCAACTTATTTTCAAATGGTCATTTAGAAGTTAGAAAGACAGGGAGGGAGGAGAGAGAGAGAGAGACAGACAGAGAGAGAGAGAGAGAGAGAGAGAGAGAGAGAGAGAGAGAGAGAATACAAACCTGGCAAAATGTTAACCATATGTGAATCCAAGTGAATAATATACAAGTATTTGTTGTATTATTCTTCTAACTTTTGTGTAGGTACTGAATTTTTCTAAATAAAAAGGTTAAAAATATGATTTTCAGATAAAATTAAGTTGTGTCTGTTATGTACATCACACAAAAACATAGTTATCTTAAGTAATGTGTAAGAAAATGACAGATTTCTAATTCCTAACAGATTTATTAGCTGTTTCATTTCATCACCACACTGGCAAACTATTCCTTCTTGTTTTTAGTTACCATGGTCTAGTGAATTTAATAGGAGGGCTTGCTCTGCTAGGACCAGTTGTAAGTTTACATAGAATACAACAGAATGTTCTATTATGAGGCCTTGAGGGGGAGGAAAAGTCTACAGCTTCGTGATCTCTGCTGCTCTGTCAATGTCTCAGAGAGGTGGCAAGACCTTGGAGGGCTTAGCCATGTGGTACACGCCAACTTTGCCACAGTCTTATGACCCAAATGTGTCTTGGAAGCACCAAAAGTGTTGGACTTGAACTGGATTCTTTATACTTTTTGTTTCATTTTGGTTTTGGAGTACTAGGGAATAAAGCCAGGGCCTCACACTGAGCTACATTGCTAGCTCTTTGCATTTTTTTTATTTTGAGGCAGGGTCTTGTTAAATTGCTAAATTTCCCAGACTGACTCAACCTTGCAATCTGCCTGCCTCAGCCTCCCAGAGTGCTGGGAATATAGGAATGCAGCACCATGCCCAGCTCTTGAACTGAATTCTTGAGTCCATCATCTCAGAGCTGTGCAGCTCTTTTATGGTCATACACATGGTCCAGTGTGGGAAAGTGCTCTATGACTGCAAACAACTGCACAACTCTGGGCTAAAGAAGACTCAGCAATTGAGTTCAAATTTCCCTCCACCCTCCACCATGGTAAGATGAGTGCCTCAAGTTGAATTAAATAACAAAACTGTTTTTAATGTTTGAATTTTTGGACTGGGAGTCATTCCTAGTACATTAAATAACATGTATTAAAATGTATGATAAGCCAAACACTTTACACTGATTTTCTCATTTTGTCCTTACAACTCTGTAACTTAGGTAAAATAATGCCCACATTATAAATGAGGATAAGAAACTTAGAGGAGTTAATAACTACTTACCTGAAGTCATGCTGCGAGTAACTGGTGGAGCCAGTGTTTGACTCAGGCAGCCTGACTCCTGACTCCTGAGCTCTTAGCCCCTTTATCATATTTGTAGGTATAGGTAGGTGGCTACCCACCTACCCTAAAGGCCAGTCCTCCCTATATAATTCCCACTTCTTGTCCCCAACACAC